CTGAAATTTGAGCTCTACTCCAATACTGGGGATCACTGAAACCTGAAACTGCTCTCAAACATATCATCAATCAATTTAGGTTAATTGTCAGAGCATAAGGTTGGTCAATGCCGAGGTGACTGGCACACATATTGTGCACCTTTCATTCCTATATTACCTCTAATGACTGTGGGATTTATAGAACTCTGACAAACTATGTTGGGCGAGATATTGTAAACCGGTCTCTGAATGTAAGCCAGCTAGCCCTGGGCTTGTATTCTAATACGTATGGCTAAAGTTAATAAATATACCTGCAGCCAATTGTATCAAGCCTGTTTAGCTTAAACGTTGGTTAAGCTCAAAATAGAAAGCAAGTCAGACTCTATAGATTCATTCAACAACCAAACTAGAAGTTTTGAACCTTAATAGAATGATGTTTACAACTACATATTCAGTGCAGAATATTTAAGTTGACTGATTCATGAGAAATTAAGCTAAACGGGCTTGATACAACCGGCCCCTGTCAAATAATATAAGCCCATGGGCTTGTACACACAGGCCTGGCTTACATTAGAGGGGGAGGGGCTTATATTCGGAATAGCCTGAGTAAATATGATGGGATTATACACAGGGGGGCTTATATTGGGGGGGGGGTTATATGTTTATGGTAATTGCTTGATTGCAATGGGTATTGAATGGTTTGAACCTGATGTCTTTGGCCTAGCCACCTAGCTAGCAAAGTATTTGTTCACTTGTCTACATGTCATGTAAGTGAGATTTCATATAACTACACAGTAATTATAAATAACTGCTGGCAAGAACCTGGCAAGGATATCACTCAAAGTTTGTCAAGGAAAATTTAATATACTAAAATACTAAATAAATACAAGTGTGCAGACACTACAGCAAGGACTTTGAATTAATCATATTAACCAGCCATGAAACCCTACGCAAATACAGAGGGCCGAGGCTATAGCAGTAGTAGTAGTACCAAATCAAAAGAACAATAAAATGTACAGAATTGCCAACCATTTACAGGTTGTTATGTCTGCTAATAATTTGCTGTTCATATACTTTTATGTTCGTAGTATTATAAACTTTGTAGTTTGTACTTCTGCTTCAAATTTTCTACAATATATAAAAATCTTACCGGTGAATAAAAAGATTCTTCTTGTACATCTCATACATCTACGAGCGGCACAAAAAGGCAGGATCCTCGATATTGTAAATCAACCAAGTTATAGGAGAAAAATATCAAGATTTTCAGTGCGATTTTTACCTCAAAAACAAGCGAAATCATAAAATATCTGTGCTGAAACCAGGGGGGTGAAGTACATTGTCGAAAACTTAGGATCGCGGTTGGGACAGTGGTAGTTGCCATGAATTTAGGGACCAGTAGTCATGGCAATGGCGTCAGATCCGCCATGTTTTTGGCATATATCTATTATGATATCTATGGTTTTTGGCTTCACTTTTTTTTCCCGAGCAGGTCCTCCAGTAATATAGTATAATAGCTCAGTGGACTGAACGGATAGATAGGAGCACCGTCCTCCAGTAATATTATAGCTCAGTGGTACTAAGCGATATGGTCACATGACCTAATTATAATTATCAAGATGGCTGCCACTTCGACTTTTATTCACATTCTCATTGCAATTTCTTTTTGTCACTGCCAAGCTAGTTCGTATCCCGTTCCACTCTTAATATGGTCAACTAAAAGGTAATTTTAGTTAAGTTCTTTTTCCAATTTTGTACTTATACTGTGAGCAAAGTAACATATTTTAAATTGATAAGATATATTGTATATGTACATCCACCCATGACCCATGTTGACGTGTTGTGGGTGAGTGGGTCCATCACGATAGAAACCTCGTGCAGGAATACGGTTAGAAATCGGGAAATCAACTTTAGAAATCAGACGATTTCAAAATCAGTAATCACAAAAGTTCTTGCAAAAATAGTACAGGGGCAGGTTTCAGCTGGTTTCATTTTAGTTTGTGTATTTATTTTTTTAAATTTTTTCCCCTATATGCAACAAGCGGTCCTATTAATTACTGCCCTAGAACTGCCCGGGTAAACATAACGTTATTTATTATATGGTAAGGCAGTGTGATCTTGTTTTAAATCGCTGAGTACATGTATAAATTTTTTTTTCAAAACATTTAGCATGCTACAGTATATTGCTTACACTGCGCTGTGAGCCAAAAACGAAGCCTCGGCAGAATGCAACGTAGCATGCTAAATGTTTGGAAAAAACTTTTTATACATGTACTCAGCAAATTTTGTGTCCCGGCACCCGGGCATTTACACTATCATAACCAATCAAATCTAATGTCCGGGTGTGTTCCGGGGGGAGTGGTTACTCCTGGAATTGACTCATGCATAATATTTACAAATGATAGGGCTAGAGACCTATTAGAAACCTTAACAGGCTTTTGATTTATAAAAACTGTCAAACTGTAATTTAAGCTTAATAAAATAACATTGCAATTTTTAAGGTGTTATTTGTAAACCGCTGTTTTGTTGAAAATTGCATCTTTATGAGTCATCACAAAACTATTGTTTTCAAGCATTTAATGCTGCTGCTTGGTGATCTTCTGTGGTCACAGTTTCTCTGTTTTCGCTTTTAATTTCAATTGTCCATGTACTTGTATCATAAATTCACAATTGCCGCCATACACACATTGTCAAAACTTCACCGGTGAAAACAATAATTGCCGAATAATCGGAGATTAAGTCGTTTAGTTACAACTTTCGATATTTTCGATATGCAAAATATTGAATATTTATCGAAAATATCAATATATCGCAACTGCCTACTCATTCGTATAAACATAAAAAAGGTTTTATTTAATAGAAACTCCCAGCTCTCTGATTCTCCCAAAACTACATATTTTTCCCTACTGTTACCATGACACCAATTACTCCAAGGGGTGTTGGGATGGTCACTGTTTGGCTCATCAGTTTGCATTAGCATACCAGCTTGCATTAACAATCTAAGTTTCTGTTGAGAGTAATGAACTGTCATTTAGCAAATTCAGACTCTGAACAGCTACAGTATCTATGGTCAACAATGAAGGAAGATTGTCTTGATGCAGGGTTTATTTTAAGAAAAATTTAGAACTGCACATATAGGGATTAGGGGTGCATCGGATTTGGAACCGGAACCGGATTTACCGGATTTAGACAAAAATTCAGGATTTGCCGGATTTGAGATAAACCGGTAATGGGACAATTGGGGATAAATCAGTATTCAAAATGGCAGTTTATGTTTTTTACTATTTTTAGTTAGTGTCAGTTTAGATTTTTGATTGTGTTTAAACCTTTTTTAAATATATTTTTGTTAATAACTTAATATTTTAAAATAGTATAAGTTTTTTTTAAACTTTAAAGCTGCCAAATTGATGGTTTATCCTATTCTTGGTGAATTTTTTAAGGTGAAAACAGAAGTTTAAATCCAGCCGGATGCCGGAAAATTTGTTAAATCCGGCCGGAATTCTGGCCAGATTTCAAATCCGTTGCACGCCTAATAGGGATGTTAAGAAGGATCACATGTTTGGCTGGGGGGGGAGATCAAAGGATTTTTTACCTGGATAATATATGTAACATTGAAAGTTGTAAATTATGAAAGTTGTAAATTAATTTGAATATAGGTGGCTGGATAAAGGTGTGGTTGGGTGGGAGAAAGGCCAGACAAACTCAATTTTGGGTGGGAAGCTCTTAAGTTCTGGCAAAGATTTGTTCTATCCAACCACCCACAAAAACTGTTTCAAAACATATGTAACTGGGAATCATGAATACTCATAGCCTGCGTGCAGGCCCAAGGGAACTTGATAGTGGGCCTGCAACCATCGCCCGGTATTTTGAAATACGCCCCTTTTCATAACACGCCCCATTCGCGCGTCAATTGTCAAAAAAGAACCAATAACAGCACCCAAATATTAACAAACAAACTCGCATTAAAATGTTGCGGGGTTTTCTCTGCTTATTCAGAACACTAATAAACAATGTGTAAATGGCTGCGTTTTAACTCCAAAAAAGCAAGCAACGCAGTCAGTAATTGCCAAATTTGCAAGTGCTCATTTTCAACTAAAATCGGAACAGGCAAATTAGGACGAATTTCAACAGAAAACCAGTCTCAAACTTCAAATCATGAAGGAAGTCGGGCGACCACATTAGGATTTATATTATGTGTGCTTCGCTGTCGCCATTGGCATTGTTATAAATAAATTGTCTCACTTATCAGATCGTGTGTGCAATTCTTGTTGGCGGCGGAAAGTACGAAATTTATTTCATTTGGTAAAGAACTCTACAAAAGAAGAGAGCCTTCCGAGTCCAGATCGTTTCGTTTCAAACGGCAATTTAATACCGCCTTCTGTTTCGCTCTCTCTGCGAAGCCTTGTAAATCGCAAAGTGTTTCGAATAGGCTTACAGTTATTACATGCAACTGCATCTCAACATCAACCAAAAGATAATTTTCTTGAGGAAGTGAGAACACATAACGTATCAACTGAAGTCTGTTTGAAATTAATGAAACTCAAGTAAAGGTTACTATAGTTTACCCCAGTCGTAATGTTGCTATTCCAACACCTCACGACAAGCAATCCCCATTGGCATAACGGCAAAAACATATCTTCCTTCAAGTAAACAATAAACAGTCTGTTCTTTTTCCATTTGTAATCGAAAAAAGTGATCAATTTTCAAATTTTAAGCTTATCGAGAGCCTTTGTCTATGCCTTTGTGATGGAATCACTGTTCCCTTGTGCCTGCACAATGGGCTAGGTTAATTAATTACCGATCGCCTCAGCTAGCCAATGGGAATTTAGCCGGCGGTTCGGCCGGCGAAAATCGAAAACATGGGGTGATGGTTGCAGGCCCACTATCAAGTTCCCTTGGGGGGACTCAATAAATAATAACCTTAATTTTGCATTTCAGGCAGCAAAGAATATTAGGTTCCCCCAGTCTAATCACTTTTGGGGAGCTTTGCTTGCCCCAATTTTACCTTCTGTTCCATTACTCCAGCACATAAGTGATTTGTGAGGAAAATAGGAGGGTCTGGGTGTCCTCTCCCAGAAAACGTTTATATTTTTTATGCTCAATGACAGCATTTCTGGCATTTTCTGGAGCATCCACAAAGAAATGAGTAAATAAGAAGACCATTTTAAGGTTATATTTTTGTTAATTTGGTGACTGCACATTTGTGTTTTAAGAACTGCACAAATGGGTTTAGAATTGCACATTTTGTGTAGAACTGCATGTTAAAATAAACCCTGTCTTGACATTTCCAGATATATTGGATGAACTTGACTTAGGTAAGATATATAGCATGCTCATGGTTTCTATATATATTAGAGGTGTGCATCGGATCGGATTGGACATTTATAATCCGACAATTGCCTAATGTTTAAAATCCGATCCGCAATTGTCTAATCCGAATCCGATTACAAATAATTGTCACACCTTTGTTACACAATTAGTCACCTAACAATCAAAGGTTTTAGGAAATTATCGGGTTGGCAGTTGCCTCCCCTAGTGCCCACCTCTGGTGATTAATCTGGTTTTAACATTTATTAGTGGAAAATATATGTTTGTTCCCAGTTTGATATATTTCCAGTGAACACTTGTGGATGGTTATAAATTAGTTGTGCTTGTTCTTCTTTGCTTGATTTAAACTTATGTCTACTCTGTCGTGTTTGATTCACGAAGAAATTTGACATGTATTGGGTGACTTCAACGGACATTGGATAATGGGGGATGTTAAGGGCTGTCGACCATTCAAACGAGTTTTTCTCTGGGTGCCATTGCGTTGCATAAAATGGGTATTTATTTCCTTCCATGGTTGAAACAAATTGTTTGCCTTTTCTATCCTTGTTGATGGATAAAACTTGGAAGAAGTTATTTAATTTTTTGTTGGCTTTAAATGTTTCCGTAGACACACAATTGTAATGTAAATTAAGTGTGGTGGGTGCTGTACTTAGGTATTTTGCCAGTTCAGGTGCAATATTGGCAAACAGTCTGCTATTTTGATATTCTGGGGTAAAATTAAGTGGTAGTGGTAAATTCTCTGAGTCGCTGTGTGATAATACTGACGATGAGCCGCTCACCATTGTAGCCAAAAGTTCAAAGCCTAGACATATACCCCAAAGTGGAAAGTAATCATTGTTATTGAAAGCTGTCATCGCCTGGTTATAGATTATGTTTCCAATTCTTGCGTAATCAGAATCTGTAACACTCACATCTCCGCCTGGAAAGAGAACTCCATTTATTGATTTAAATAGATTCACAACTTCATCCTCACTAAGACTTGTTTTGATCGGCACGACACGAGCTCCTGATGATTCCAAATACTTCACGTACGCTGCGTCAATATAAGACTTTCCTAAGTTCTCTACTGGTGTTCCTTTTGTCGATTGCGCCACAATACCTATGATTGGTCGGTTATTTAATGCTTGTACTGTGCTGTGTAATGTACTCGTAAGGCTAAATGATATAAATATCACGAAAACTGAATGTGCGATCATCTTGAATATTCGTTTCCTATACTGAGAAACAGTCAAGGATTTGACTCCACTGACCTTTTTAATCACGAGACTTTTCTCACGAGACTTTTCCGGAAGTGTGTACTTATGAGCGTTTACTTTTCATAGATTTTAAAAGTAGACTGGGTATAGTAGGGAACTGTTGTAACTGAAATCCGTTATTGCTAAGAGACCAAATGCGTGGATGCGGTGTATTTATTTTTAAAGGGTTCAAGCTTTTTAGTAATACCCAGGGCCGTAGCGAGGGGGTATTGGGGGGGGGGCTAACCCCCCAACTTTTTTAGAATTAAAATATTCGGAAAATCAGGATGGCCATTCGGAAAATAACGGCAATAATAGTATAACAACATTTTAGACTTTTAGTTGTTAAACAGAGAAAATGCCGATAATATAATTGTATATATTGTCAGGTATAATATAATTGTATATATTGTCAGTATAAACTGATTAACGAAATCATGGCATTTACATGGAAAACATAAACATCGCTAAATGGTTTTCGGTTTATTACTTCTCAGGGCCGTAGCAACCGGGGGCAGCCTGCAGCCCTCCCAATAATTTGCTAATAATCATTCTTTTTTCAAAATCATGCACACCTTTATCATTTAAATAATATACTTTTAAAATACTGACAATTGATTAATTTTAAGCGGTTCATTATCTATGACAAACTGCAAAGAATCATATTACCCATACTGCGTTTTCTCCAATATATAGTTAATCTGATTAAATATGCCTTCGCCCATTTAGTACTACTAAATTGTAAGCAAATTGTAAATTTCGACATAGTAAAACGCAGTTTTCTGACTATCAGAATTCTGTCAAAACTTCCCCAAAGTCCAGGAAATGGTATTTCCGAGACTGTAAATTTAAAAATTTCCTCGGGCCTTTGGCCCTCGTTTTCAGCCCCCAATCAAAAAGAACTTCTTACGGCACTGCATGCTTCTGTAATGTGTTTGTGCGTAAAATATGCGTATTTTTGTTTGTAAATTGCGCCTTCATTTTCCGGATAGCAAACACCTTCGTGGCTTCGTATGCCATGAAATATTCGTAAATTTTTTTCGTCATTCGGAAATTTTTGGCCTACACCCCCGCCCCCCCTCCCCCAACTATACATGCTAGCTACGGTCCTGGTAATACCTTTGTCTGTGAAGTTTGATTCATTTTCCATAACTTGCATAAATGTGTTAAAATTCTCACTATATATACTGTCGTTCGCACTCTCGCTCGTTTCATTGCAATGCAAAAAGGGCATGTTGTTAAAAAATAATGACGTGTATATTGTAATGGAATGGCAACGAGAGTCCGGACGGGAAGTTAAAATTTCATTTGGAGTGGCCTTACTCTTAATTAAAGCTGATTTGTTGATTATAAGCTTGTCACTCACTTGTTTACAAGCTTTTTGGCGCAATTACATTATATATGCATTCATGCACAGTTACAAAAATATGATGTTTAATTTATCGGTTCGTAAACGCCCATGCGCACCAGTTTATGGTCGAGCCACTGGTTCCAGCACGCATTTTTATTTAATGATTGTATCATTTGGTCCTTCACAACGTCAGGAAATATCACTAGCTGGTATTGTTGGAAAGTTACAAGCCCCATCAGACATATATACATGATGCGATTTGAATCGTTGTTCATGTGAATGTCTGACTACGAAGAAAATAGTACATTTTCCAACATACTGTAAGAGTTAGAACGTTCAGTTGTTTGCATTGCATTTTACACAATAAAAAACTTCCATTAGTTCCATATATGACAAAAATTTCAGCAGATAATGTAATTTACAAATGGGTGCCACAATTTTTTCTTTTGCCTTTTAACAATACCCAACAAGGCAAAGACCCCATATGACAAAGTGGACATTGTATGACAACCACCCTAGGGTAAAAAATGAACGGTCCCTTAACCATTTTTAAACAGAAGGAAAGTTGTTTCGTAATGTGAAGAGCTTTAAAATTTCGTAAAATTGAGTCCGCTCTTGATCCCATTATATCCCTTGATATCAAGACGTATAGGCCCACGGCCAAACGAGAACAAGAGTCGCGTGAGAGTTGATTAGAGTTACGCCCTGGAGTTATAGTTGACTTCATCAAAATTTGAACAAGCTCAAAGTTGATGAGAGTCGACGAGAGTTGCCAGTCATACGTGAGCGAGAGTTGGAACTCTTATCCTCGTTTGGCTATAATATAATTACTTTTTCCCGTTCCAACTCCAATAGCATTCTTTTATATTTTATAGTGTGGATGTTGATGACGAAATTCTGGCAGGTCATACTCTTAATTATGAAGATGTTCAAGTTAAATATCTGGATAAACTGAAGGCCCAGTCAAACACTATTTGTCTTTTTGTACAAGACAAGGTAAGACCTCGAGTTTGAGTATAATGTTTACGAATCAGCAGAAAATGACTTCTTAACCACCACCTTGCCTTGACTGGCTTACTGATATTGTTTTTTATTATGTTTGCACAAGTGAATATAACAATTCCTACAAGTCGATTGGTCAAATTTGACGTATTAAGGTCCATACAGACCGGACGCGATTTGGCAACGCGACAACAGCTGGGAAATTTGTTGTCGCTGTGCAGAGAAATTGCTGGCGCACGCGATATTTTACAAAAATTCGAAAATTTGAAAAAACAACACGAGTGAAATTTCAACTGATGATTTTGCATTTTTAAGACGGCGATCAAGGAAATTAAATTGTTGGAAAAACTTCACTAACATCTCAAGTATGGAAAGCATCTACATTACTAGAAATTTAATTGTGGATTGATTCAAAATTCAGGCGATAAAGTTACATAGCTAGGAGTTGGCTTTTGTGCTCTTCGAATATCAGTTTTCATTCGCAGATTACCATAACTTGTTGGCCTCATGGGTGCCAAAATCGACATAAACGTAAACTGCTAACCAAGAGCTATAAAACAAATAGCTTGTCAAAAAGATAAACTTTATTCAGTCAAAAGGATGAGGGTAAATAAACATGCTACTGCGTGATAGTGATTTCGAAGCAACTTTGTCACATATATTTTAAAAATGGTGATAATGAATCAAATTTTGCTTTTTGCAATCCCGAAAAGGTATGAAAATTATTTAAATATTTAAGGTTTCCGTGTTTCTAAAGTATTTTTTTGAGAAAAGTAACAATTTTCCCGATAAAAAAGCATAGTTTCTGCAGAAAACTGTTTTCTGATAGAGAAGGTCCTGGGGGAGGGGGTGTAGAAGCGTGCGCGGATAGCAGAAAACCTTGACGTTTCCTCCAAAAAATTAATACCAAATTTTGTTTTGCCTTTGTTTGATATGTAATTTAAACAAGTTTTTTTACATCTAAAAATTGCCCCTAGTGGTCAAAACTTGGATTATGTTCGCAGTATTGGCCATTTGTTTACTTTTGGGGATCAAAGTTTGAGGTCCAATTATTTTTAAAGTTTGCAAACTACCCAGCTAATTCTTGGCTGTTGTTTGCAGCCTTGTATGCTGATTAAAATTTAGTTTAGTCCACAATAGTAGATCCTTTCAATGAAGGGAAATTCAAAATAGTATATTTGATTCCTTTTACAGCACAGTCATTACATAGGTAGGGTGCAATACCAGGCCAAATTGCAAAAAAATTTACCGATTCCTCCAAATTTAAAATCATATTTTTTTGCTACCAAGGCACATAGGAAACATAATTTAGCAATGAATTTTGTTGAAAAATTGCCCCTTTGGGTCTAATTTCTCTTTGAAATGCGTGCGTTTACTGCTCTTGTATGAAGCAAGAGTTCTAAAACATTCCGAAGTACTGTAAAATGTAATGAAATCGACAACTTGACCTTGCCCTTGAGACCTTGTACTGCCTCAGCATTGAAATGTTTTTTGACAACGATAATTTACCAGTGTTTCTTGAATATTTTCCTTGTTTGACTAGTAGAACCGAACGTACAAGTGCATCAGAAGACTAAGCGAGAGTTTTGTGTAGAAATGCTCTGTTTATGGGAAGTTATTTTGCATTCACAAGCGTCAACAAAACTGCGGCATTTTCACAGTTTGATTATCATAGCGATAGATAAAAGCTTTGAAAATTCAATTGAAAACATTTTAAACCACCCGTATTTGTATAGACTATATGTTAGTTGTATTAACATTGAACTTCTTTCTGTTTGAACCCAAATTTGTACTTGTTTTGCGTTTGACAAGGCTGTCAAGCTCGTGACGATTGGCTTTTATACCTCAGGCATGACTACAGATTTAGCGTGTCAAATGTCTTCTTGTTTGTGTCAAGATTATAATATTCTATTGCTGTTCAAACGAGATATTCTATACACTGGAAACGTAGAGTACATTTTACTTTGTCTTTGTCTCAAGCAAAAAAGTATAAAGATTAAACAGGCATTCAAAAATATACAACAACCACGAACATCTCGTAATATTTCTTCGGGGAAATCTTCAAGTTTCAATGGAAATCTGGCGCATGCGCAACAAATTTCCCAGCTGTTCAACGCGACGCGAATTTTCAATTTTCAATGACATCTAACTTCAATATTTTTCTATGTTTTTCAAATATTCGGAACCACTTAAGTAATTTCAGCTATTTGGTCCGCATATCTTGCAATTTTTTTATCCGTTGACGGTTTTATTTGTTTTTAAAAACTGAAAATTCGCGTCGCGTTGTCGAGTCGCGTCCGGTCTGTGTGGGCCTTTAATTAAGCTGTTGTATTCATCTACAGGTGAATATAACAAAACCGAAATTTGCGAAATGGTGAGTAACCGTTTTGTGGAAGTTACTGATAAAAAATAAGCGAAATTAAAATAAATTCTTTCCCAAAAAACACAAAAGACTTGTGTAAAATACTAAAACAATTATTAAAATATTAGTTTTATGACGCCACACAAACAGATCATATTATGTGATGTGATGTCACTTGCAAGGGCGATATTTATATCGTTCAACAATAGACCTTATGCATAATGACGTCACAAGGCTTGATGCCCGCGAGGAATGCTGGTCTTAATAATCATTGCCCGGGAAAATGTCGATAGTGGCCATTTTGAATTGTTTAATTTTCCCGGGCGATGACTATTAAGACCAGCATTCCTCGTGGGCGTCAAGCCTTGTGACGTCATTATGCATAAGGTCTATTGTGAAACAATTTTCACAATACAGTGTCGCCTTGACAACACGAACGTTGACCGGAAGCAAATTCGACGTTATCAACCAATCAACATTGTTATATAGTTAGTGTTAAAGTTCAATTTTTCTGTTTGCCGATTGGTCAAAACCGTATCACGTGCCGGTCCACAAAACGTCATGTTCACTGCGTGCTTTTCAAATTATGTTCACTCCAATAACTGGTGAATTATTCATATTTTGACACTTATATACTATTTAACAAAACACTTATTTACTGAGACCTCGGGAAAGGACGTTTCCCTCGGTCTCAGTAAATAAGTGATAATTCTTGACCCAGTCTTTTGACGTTACTCATGCCTTCGTGTTGTCAAAAACATCGCTTGCTTAAGCTCGCTACTATAATGCCGTACTTCACCCACAAACGTTTGTGCTGAAAGATTCCCGATTTCGGAATCATTTCCTCTCTGAACATCTAAATTTCCCAGTCAGGTCTTCATTGTGAAAGGTATAGTGCATTGCCAGCACGCGTACGGATGAAAACAAATTCCTCTGTTTTTACATGATTTCGAACCTCGGCTTGCAACATCTTGAACGGAGGTCTAATTATGCGTTCTTGTGTTGTCCTGATGATATTGATCGCTAAAATATAGTTTTAATTATGCGTTATTCTAAATAAAACACTATAATAGAACATGATACCGTGGTATGTTGGGCCTTCGAGCTCTAGTTGTTTGTGATAATCTTTTGTGGAAAATGAAATCTGTAAATTTCAATTCTTTTAATTTGTTGTGTAGTTAAGTATCGATGATTTTGCTGCCAATCCAGGCATGGATCTCAAGCATTTGAAAGATGTTCTGCATTCCTCACCCACGTCAATAGTGTTGCCTTCAGTTTCCTTGGAGCAAGATTTCGAGGAGGGAAAAAAGAACAACAAATTAGTTGAATATTTGGAAACAACTTCACATGGAGTAGTTATACCTCTTACGCCTGAAGGTTAGTTGGATCTCTTAATTTTATTTCCTTGATTTTTGTTATATGGTGGACATGTTTAGGGCTTTTGGTATAGATGGAACTTTCAAGTGGAAGGTTCTACAATTTTGAGACCTAACCAGGCCTAGAAAATATATTTATCTTCTTGGCAGCAAAATTCAAAAATTAAAATTTCAAAATGTAAATTTCAGAGAATGTGTGGACTATGATGCCGCACATCTCGACTTGCAAAATGGCATTCTTGTATATAAGATGACAAAAATTTCCTACAAAGTGCAAGAAAATTTCCTGCGAAGATATTTTGTTAAACATTTCCTGGTAGCGGTGCTGCTGGCGCTGTCGGACATTTTCCAGCACTGGGCCTAACTAGGAACAGCTGCGAAAATTGCAACTATAGGAATCGAACCTGCAGCCCTGCTATTCTGGTGCAGCACTCTAACCAACTGAACTACAGAATCCAGTTGTCGAGCTCTAACTAGGGGCCTATAGACCCTTTGCACTGATGTCACAAATCCTTAGAGTGTCCTCCAGGTGCTATCTAACAATATCTGTTCGGGTTCAACAACCCACATACAGCGTAAAAATTAACCATTTTAATACAAAATTATTATAAAGTTTTACAAAATTTGCTTTGTTTGCAAAAGTTATATTATGCGTAGATTGCTAATTTATCCTCCAGATGCATCGTTACTGGCGCTGTGACGTCAAGTGCAATGGGTCTATACTTGCATTTTTAGGTTTACGGTTTTCCATCTACAAAAGCTTTTCAACTGTTAGTTCTATCGAGCAAGATGCCCAATAGACCCATTGCACATGACGTCACAGCGCCGGTGACGATGCATCTGGAGGACAAATTAGCAATCTATGCATAATATAACTTTTGTAAACAAAGCAAATTTTGTAAAACTTTATAATAATTTTGTATTAAAATGGTTAGTTTTTGCGCTGTATGTGGTTGTCGTACCAGAACAGATATTGTTAGGGAGCATCTGGAGGACACTCTAAGGATTTGTTACGTCAGTGCAAAGGGTCTATATCTCGATATTTACCCAGACATGCTTAGGGCCTGTTATACAAGTCCGGTTTGCATGAATCTCTCCTAAGTGAGATAATTATATCTGCATGTGTTCATGCTGTATGACGAAATTTAGAAATTACGTAAACATGAAGCCTTCGAAACATTTTTTTCTGATAGAAAAGCTTTTTTCTATTTCATTTCAGGTGTTACAGATTTCCCAGACAGGATCAAATCACTACGAACAGATGTGCCAACTGTTATTATAGTACATCTTCCCAAAGCGAAAACGTAAGTTTCCAACAGAGTACAAACTGCATGCCAAAATGCAAAAATCGTATAAAATAAAAACCCATTATTAAGATTAGAGCTCATTCAGTCTAGTGTCTTGGAATCACGACCATAGATAAAAAATATTTTCTCTGCGAAGACTCAGTTGTCGCGTTCCTTGTCTGTTTGCTTATTTTCAAGCTCTTCCACATGCATGCATCAGGGGGGGGGGGGGGGGGGGTGCTCTGCCGCCCGCCCATCAACTTGCCTCACCACTGCAAAGTCTTGCTTGACTACTGTATTTGAATTGTAATTGTTGTTCACAGTTTACTTATCATCATGTTATTACTCAAATTACTGTATCTCATTTTGCCTCTAATAATTTTTTGCTTTATCATGAAAAATATCCCCCCCCTGCACCCCCCTAGTAAATCCATCCCTGGCATGCATTGTAGAGAATACGTGGTAGTATTCTGTATCATTGGAGTATCAGTGAGTTGCCACTAAAATCCTCGCACCCTGTTATACACAGTTATTACTACGCAGTGGTTATGCATGCATCCACCATGATATTATTAAATATAATTAGAACTAATATAAATTCTTCTTTTTCCAGTGGAGAGGATTCGATGCGAAATCTTGAACCTAGTGGTAAACACCTTCTTTTCGTTTTTGTTTGCGTAATCATATGACAAGGTTCAGACTACTAGGGCTTCCCATCAATTCACATTCTCAACAGGGGAGACCAGATTTGGGTGAGATTTTTTGGGGAAATGACCAAAGTGGACCTTTTTCTGATTTCATCCAAATGTTCTGATCAGACACCCAAATGTTTTGTATTCCCTAAATTGTTGGACTGACAATAGTCTGACCGTCTAAATGTAAAAAAGCTTCGAGCACTGTACAAACGTAAGAATGTATAACAGCTTCATTCAAACAAGCTGGAAATTTCATGTAGTGGAAATTCACAAAGGTTAACCCTGGGCGTACCGGGTATCCTACAAACATAGACGGTAAAGGCCCGTTTACACTTGCAATTTTTGCTGCCATTTCTAGTGCGATTTTCGTGTTCTGATGGATGTGAACGAGTAGATGAGGTATGGATGTTCTGTATATATGTACCCTCATCTGAACATCCATAATTCATCCACTCGTTCACATCCATCAGAAGAAGAAAATCGCACCTTGAATCGCAGCAAAAATTGTAAGTGTAAACGGGGCTTAAGACGTCTGCGGAGAACTCGATTCATTTTAATTGGCCATCCAGAGTCTGATGAGGATTGTTAACAAAAACACCGAAATCACGTATATTATATAGATGGTAGGATCAAATAAACTTCACAGTTTGAACCTGTTTGAATGTTTTAAATTTGTAGATGAAATTATTGGTAAGGTGTCAGATCTACTATCAAGCCATTTTCCAGATTATGTTGCTTTGCTAACAGCAGACATGCCACGTGACGTAAGTATGCTAATTTCTGAATTTTTAGTGTATTTGGTCACGATTTCTTGCATCATCGTCGGAATCATCGACTAATGGATCCAGACTCTTTGATGTTCTTATTAATCAGACTCTTCCGTATATGACTCAGACTCTTCCTTTTAGCAGGGGGAGTAACATATGTATTTGCCGACATGTAATTAATTAATTGGTTAATTTAGAATTACCACACCCACAAACCACGTTCTTTTGTCGGCAAATACATATGTTACTCCCCCTGCTAAAAGGGCCCTGTTTTTCACATCTACAGTAGGTCACTCTAGGTATGTGGTTGTGTTACAACAAGAAACAATGATTCTAACAATAATCTCGTTTGGTTAACAGGATGTTCAAAGTGGAATGGCAGCTGCACGTCAGCTATCAGTATCGCATGCACGAGAACGTCGTTCTACTGCAGATGATAAGAAGAAATTGCGATGCAATCAAACAGGCGTCTTGGTAGCTAAAGATGGTCTCATGATGTACATGACCAACATGTATCTTTATGGAAGAGGAGGAAACACCTCTGACACATTCATAAACACCACGAATGAAGTCTTGCCTACAAGTGTTATCAAATTAGATAACTCATCTGGATTAATGTAAGTTTGCATCGTGTATTTTTAACCGAAGTAATACGTGCAAGCGAAACCTGTTTAACCTAAGCGGTGGATAAACCTAAATGAAATAAAACTCCTTAATATATAACTTAATATTTGTCAAATACCTGGTTGTGTCGGCCATATTTGTACATTTCAGATTAAAAACTATACCTATATTCTTTACACGTATATATTTCGTGCACAGCAGTGCCAGGAATAGGGTTATGATTAAGGAGAAATATTTTCGCGCGTGAAACGTGAGGACGTTGTCGTCGTTTTGTTGTTTTATGAGTACTATCTTATTTCTACATGATCTTTGCCGTATATATCCAACTTGACAGCAAAGCCATACCATGTAGATCTATAACTTGATTGTTTGAAAGTACGTCACTTTGGCTATACAGCCTCGTTTTCGTGATTGAGATGTCAGGCTTTAACTAATGTCACATACACGAAAACGAGGCTCTATAGCCAAAGTGACGTACTTTCCGGAAGGGTGTATTCATGAGGAATCAAGGTTTGTCTACACCACAGTGTGCGTGCTCCGTACGTGGTCGGTTCAAATAATTAGCTCATGTGAGTTACGAGGAAATAATTGAATAACTCGTATTAACTATGTGCTTTAGTAAGTCTAGAACAATGATAATCAAGTGTACAGTTTCGTTATAACAAAGGTAGTGATTGACCAATCGGCATCGGACCAATTTTTGCCTTATTGGTAGACAATCGGAAACGGTAGAATTCTCCGAAATTTCGTTCAAAGGAAAACCGGAAATTTTTCGATGGGGTCTGTATTTCCGTTTGTCTAAAACCGATTGTTAAAAGACTTTTGCGTTGCACGTTGATATACGTTGCGTTTTAACGCAACATGTCAAATTAACGCGTCAAGCGTGCCATTTATTAACGGTTTTAACGATATCTGCTTGCAGTAACATGTTACGTTGGAAATTATCGTCAAAAAATCGACACAAATGACGTCACCTTTACTTGGTCGACTGATATTATGACGTCATTATAAAATCGGAATTGGTAGATTGCGGCGTGAATAATCGGTCAATCACTAAACAAAGGTGCAAACAAGCGTTGACTAAATACTTCTAACTATTTAACAATCTATCTACGTCTAACAATCATCTACTGTATCCTACCCGACAGTATATGGTAGACACTCACATGAAGTACATGCATGCCTTACCGATTTTTAAAAACTTACCAAGGACTTGCAGTTGCATGCAAGAAAACTATATAGACTTTTTCTAGACTTTTTGGTGAAGACACCACCAAATAAATAAAGGAATACCGAATGGTTTTCCATGCAGGATTGCGTGATCTATGCTCGAGGGATGTCGCGAGACTTTCGGAAAGCGTAACAATACTCGAGCCGCTGGCGAGTGTATTTTCACACTTTCCGAAAGTCGAGCAACATCCCAAGTGCATGGATCACGCTATCCTGCTTGGAAAACCATTTGGTAATTGTTTTATAAAATAACTACAGTGAAACAATGACATTTTGAGAATCACGCGAAAATCCCGCAAAGGCACGGCTATTGACCAATCAAATTGCGTGTTTCACTGTAGTTATTATTATATAATGGTTGTTGATGAACGAACCTCAAACAGTTTCGTAAATAATTGTTTTATTTAGTAACTAGTTCGCTAATCTGTTCGCACGTTTCCGTTTCCTTCTTATACATTTGTTTGGCAGAATTGTAGTACTGTGGCGTAATTTCCAGGAAAGGACTTTGTTTATAGAGTATTCCCATGCTTGAACTCTGTTCGATGTTTCTTTTAGGTTATCATTTCAGCTGAAAGGTGTTTTCATAAATGGCAGTGATATATCAATGAAGTAGGTTATGTCTGTAGTATATGGATTATGATATTTCGTAGAACATACCATGAATGGTATTGAAGTTTTACAGTGTTCCAAAACGAGTGACACTATAAATTAAGCCTGTTTTACACTTCAATCATATCGGAACGTACCTGTACCATAGCGTTTTCGTTTCATTCAGTGTCGTTATAATTCTGCCCGAATGCTCACAAAACGAAATCCGCTACGGTTCGTTACAGGCAGGGCCGCCGAGAGCTTTTCGGGGGCCTGGGGCAAATTTGTTTCGGGGGCCCCTATTCCCAATTTACGGCATTTTCGTCATTCGTGACATGTAAACCAAATATCAAACATGTTTGATATTTTTCGTCATTCGTGACAAAAAAATTCTCGTCAAAAAAATGAAGCTTAAAGCCCGCCGCACACGAGCGCACTTGTCGCGCGTACTTGTTATTCGTGACAAGTTGGATCGACAAAATTTCCTCGTGTGCGGGCAACATTTACGGCATTTTCGTCATTCGTGACATGTAAACCAAATATCAAACATGTTTGATATTTTTCGTCGTTCGTGACAAAAAAATTCTCGTGTGCAGCGACCAAACGACAAACGCGCCTGAATAGGAAAATTTGCGCATGCGTGCAACTTGCAGAATTAAAAACAACATGGCGGATCAAAATCACGAGCTCGTGTCTTGTTTTCAATTCTGCAAGTTGCACGCATGCGCAAATTTTCCTATTCAGGCGCGCTTGTCGTTTGCTCGCCGCACACGAGAATTTTTTTGTCCTGAATGACGAAAAATATCAAACATGTTTGATATTTGGTATACATGTCACGAATGACAAAAATGCCGTAAATGCTGCCCGCACACGAGGAAATTTTGTCAATCCAACTTGCCACGAAAAACAAGTACGCGCGACAAGTGCGCTCGTGTGCGGCGGGCTTTAGAATTGAATTTTTGACGAATGTTTTCGTAACCCTTATTTGACCCGAATGACCGTATGTTCATATAATCAACGTCGAGTCATGTAGTTCAATAAATAACCAAAGAGCTCGTCAAAAGCTTTATTTCTTCGAGTAAACAAGCCTAGGCTTATAAAACTACCTTAGCTAAAGATGTACGATTGGCTAAAGGCATTTAGGTCTAAATCACGCTGTTTACAGTCACTTATTGTTCAGGTAATGCCCGATAACCGGTGCCGCAGATTTGGCAGATTTGGTTTCAATTATATTTTATCATGGCTATGCTGCGATAAGTATAGAGCGAGTATATTTTCTCTCCCCTCCTATAAACATGTGTTCTCTCACGACTCGTTGTGCTTATATACTTTTCGTACATAAGGGACCGTTCATTATTTATACCTGGGATTGGTACCGAAGAGAAGCAAAAAACACTGTAATTTTTTTATTTACCCAACCTCGACATTGGTCTAAATAATTTTTACCCAACCCATGTGTTACTGTACTTAAACACACAATATTATGGTGTGGCAGGAATCAAGTTGTGTAAAGTTGGTTTGGGCGAACTTCACCCGCTTTAGGGTTAGGGGGTGGGGATAGAGTTTAGGGGGTGGGGTTAGAGGTTATGGCAAAGTTAGGGGTTACGGTTAGGGTTACAACCCACTAATTAACTTATTGCTGTTAACGGTTGATAATTACAACACTATATTGTTGATAACGCAAGGAATGGCTGATAGTTTACACATGTACACATATTATATAGAGGTCAGTGGCAAAACCATGGCAATAACATTCCAGAGGTGTACTGTATTTGATCACAGTCAATAGATTTGATGTTTCTGTACTTGTGGTTTTAAAAGGCATTTGAGAGTGTTTAGGTCTTTAGAAATGGGACCCAATCGCCCAATTTCACAATCAGCAAGGCAGCAAATGCTCTCACTTGTTTCCGAAGCAAAGTGCTAAATTTAAACCAAATTTCCGAAGCAAAGTGCTAAATTTTAATAAACCAGTCAATGGCAATGTTTGGAATGGTTGAAAATCAATGGCAATGGCAAGGCTTGCCCGCGCTAATTGGTCGCGCTACCTGTCACGTTTGGCCCAGGCCTGCCCAGCATTGTGACGCCATATATTTTGCATACTAATTACTTCCAGCACCTAACTTTGCATACTAATTACTTCTGTCCCCAGATAGGGGTCTTTTACTACTTTAATGCCATAATCATACGAGTGATTACAAAATCAACCGACTGCGTAGCGGGAGGTTGATTTGTTAATCACGAGTATGATTATGGTATTAAGATATTACTCGACTGTGATAACTTTGTCTTAGCATCTCCAGTATACACGTTTCAAGTTTATACCCGCTTTACCACCAGGCCTAGCCCAAAGCTATTGAAGTAATTTTATGCCATTACGGAATTTAGAAATTGGCGCTATTTTTTTCATTTTCCCTTCCTTCCCCGCGCACGTTCACCAATTACGTGCATGCTTTACATTTTCTGAGTATGGCTAGCTTTCGTGTTTAATTATACGACTCTGCGGAGGAGAGTGGTTTTGTTTGTTTAGAAACGGTAGATTAATCGTAATTAATGTGGCGTCTATCCGTTGTTGATGTTCGTACTGTTTTCAGTGTCATAATTATATTTTTTTGGTGAGTCTTTGTAAGTAAATATGGAATTTGGATGTAGAGTTATTATGCATAGGGTATTTAGTTAATTTGGCGAGTGGTAATTCTTGCCTTCTATATAGAGCAAACCAATATAAAGTTTCATAATCTCACTTATGATTGCTATACGACTTGTGATTAGGGGATATAGAGAATGAAACCGCTGGGCGGTGATTGGCTGAGTGGGTATAATCATATTGTAATTGAAAATATAGTAAGTCTATTTATACCTTCACAGTGTGTGTTATTCCCAATAAAGCCCTCCTTACATGTACAGAAATGGCTTCCAGGCGTGTTTGTACATGTTGCATTGTCATGACAATAACCGCCAATGCAACATTCATCCAAATCTACAAAAGCAATTTGCGTTGATTTAGAATTTTGGCCAAGTTTCGAAATTGTACGAACCTATCATATTAATACCTGCTTCTCTTTTGATATGCTCCACATTATGGGATAATTATGCATACTTTCAAACAAGCTTTTGTCAAGTAAAGTTGAGGGTGAAACTGTTTTGAAAGTTGGGGTGGGGGGGGGGGGGTC